GAATTTCATCTGTGAAAAACAACCAAAGCGGTACCGGCAGCTCCGAAATATTTTCGGTTTTTATCCCGAAAAATTCCCATAAGTTTCCAGAATAATTCTGGCACCCTCCAAGAATTATCAGGCGTGTCCCGAAACCAATTTGACTTACTGGTATATCCCGAAACAACTTTTCGGTTTTATGAAACTATTTCGCTATTCTCTCTCTGGAACTCTTCCATTGTCTCCGAAACTTATTCGGCAAATTTCTCTCACACTCCCTGTCTAGTATTCAGCAGATAGATGACCCTTAAGCGTGTGACCCTATAGGTTCGGTGAAGCATAGACATGACCGGAACACTTTCCGATCAATGATCAGCAACGGAGCCGTGGACACCCATATTGACCCCTATACCCATACAAACGAATATTGGAGTGAACCTCTAGTTGTCGCGCGGCAATTCCTGTTGCTTCGTGATATGTTACAAATACCCGAAGTGAGACATGTTGGCATCCCCGTTGAGGGAGTCCTGGATTAGGGGGTCTCCGGACAGCCGGACTATCTCTATTGGCCGGACTGTTGGACTATGAAGATACAAGATTGAAGACTTCGTCTCGTGTCCGGATGGGATTCTACTTGGCGTGGAAGGCAAGCTAGGCGGTACGGATATGGATATCTCCTCCTTTGTAACCGACCTTGTGTAAGCCTAACCCTCTCTGGTGTCTATTTAAACCGAAGGGTTTTAGTCCATAGGACAACAACCATAACATACAATCATACCATAGGCTAGCTTCTAGGGTTTAGCCTCTCCGATCTCGTGGTAGATCTACTCTTGTACTACCCATATCATCAATATCAATCAAGCAGGACGTAGGGTTTTACCTCCATCAAGAGGGCCCGAACCTGGGTAAAACATTGTGTCCCCTGCCTCCTGTTACCATCCGGCCTAGACGCACAGTTCGGGACCCCCTACCCAAGATCCGCCGGTTTTGACACCGACATTGGTGCTTTCATTGAGAGTTCCTCTGGATCGTCGCCGTTAGGCTTGATGGCTCCTACTATCATCGATAGCGATGCGGTCGAGGGCGAGATTTTTCTCCCCGGACAGATCTTCGTTTTCGGCGGCTTTGCACTGCGGGCTAATTCGCTTGGCCATCTGGAGCAGATTGAAAGCTACGCCCCTGGCCGTCAGGTCAGATTTGGAAGTTTGAACTACATGGCCGACACCCGCGGAGACTTGATCTTCGACGGATTCGAGCCACAGCCGGGCGCGCCGCACTGTCACGACGGGTATGACCTAGCTCTGCCGCCGAACAGTACCCCAAAGGCCGCGCCCGCATCAGCTTCGACCCTTAGCTCGGAGCCAACTGCGCCAATCGAGGACGGGTGGCTAGACACCGCCTCAGGGGCTGCAGTCTCAACGGCGATCGAGCCGAACACCAGCCTAATCCTCTGCAAAGCCCATGACTCCAAGGTGTCGGACTCTTTTCTGGACTCCGAACCGTCCGCGCCCCTGCCAATCAAATCTGATTGGGCGCCGATCATGGAATTCACCGTCGCGGATATCTTTTAGCACTTGCCCTTCGGCGACATTCTGAATTCACTAAGGTCTCTCTCTTTGTCAGGAGAGCCCTGGCCGGACTATGGCCAACAGGATTGGGATGCGGACGACGAAGAAATTCGACGCCCACCCACCACCCACTTCGTAGCCACTGTCGATGATTTAACCGACATGCTCGGCTTCGACTCCGAAGACATCGACGGTATGGACGACGATGTAGGAGACGAACATGAACCAGCGCCTATAGGGCACTGGAAAGCCACCTCGTCATATGACATATACATGGTGGATACACCCAAAGAAGGCAATGGCGATGTGATAGCGGAGGATGACCCCTCCAAGAAGCAACCCAAGCGCCAACGTCAGCGGCGCCGCTCTAGGTCCCACCAAAGCAAAAGTGGTGATACCGGCACAGGAGATAATAACACTCCGAATAGTGCCAAAGACAACAACATTCCCCTCCAGCAAGATTTAGAGCAGGAGGATGGAGGAGCCAACTCTCTTGAGAGAGCGGCAGATGGAGAGGAGGATGACAATTACATGCCCTCCTCCGAAGACGAGGCAAGCCTCGGCGACGATGAATTCGTCGTACCAGAAGATCCCCTCGAACAAGAGCGCTTCAAGCGCCGGCTTATGGCCACGACAAATAGCCTGAAGAAAAAGCAGCAGCAGCTTCAAGCTGATCAAGATCTGCTAGCTGACAGATGGACTGAAGTCCTCGCGGCCGAGGAATATAAACTCGAGCGCCCCTCCAAGAATTATCCAAAGTGCAGGTTACTACCCCGACTGGAGGAGGAAGCGTATGATATGGCTGATCGACCACCTCGTGGCCGCGATAGAGAGGCATTCCAGCCAAAAGTTCAGCCTCCACCCCGACGCCATTCAAATAAAAAGGCATGGGGAGATACGCTAGACCTGCGAGACATATTGGAGGACAAAGCAAAGCATGCAAGATCGATCTACGGATCACGAGGGCGCACTACTCTGCGAGACGATAAACGTCACGCCGGATACAGTAAGAGCAAATCCGGCCAGGCCGAACACGGTGGGCAAGACCCTTTCGAGCTGCGTCGCGATATAGCCCAATACAGAGGCGCCGCACACCCCTTATGCTTCACAAACTGAATCAGTCTCACCGAGTTCACATATTCGGTCCGACCAAGTTGGCTCTTTTGTGTGTAACGGTTAGATTTTGTGTGGAGGCTATATATACCCCTCCACCCTCCTCTCCATTAGTGAGAAAGCCATCAAAACGTGCCTACACTTCCAGCATTCATTTTCTGAGAGAGAACCACCTACTCATGTGTGGAGACCAAGACATTCCAATCCAACCACAAGAATCTTGATCTCTAGCCTTCCCCAAGTTGCTTCCCACTCAAATCATCTTTCCACCATAGCCAAATCTGTGAGAGATAGTTGAGTGTTGGGGAGACTATCATTTAAAGCACAAGAGCAAGGAGTTCATCATCAACACACCATCTATTACCTTTTGGAGAGTGGTGTCTCCTAGATTGGTTAGGTGTCACTTGGGAGCCTCCGTCAAGATTGTGGAGTTGAACCAAGGAGTTCGTAAGGGCAAGGAGATCGCCTACTTCGTGAAGATCTACCCAAGTGAGGCAAGTCATTCATGGGCGATGGCCATGATGGGATAGACAAGGTTGCTTCTTCCTGGACCCTTCGTGGGTGGGGCCCTCCGTGGACTCGCGCAACTGTTACCCTTCGTGGGTTGAAGTCTCCACCAACGTGGATGTACGATAGCACCACCTATCGAAACCACGCCAAAAATCTCCATGTCTACATTGCGTTCGCCACTCCAAACCCCTCCCTTTACCTTCATATGCAATGAGTACATTCCGCTGCTATACTCCTAGAATTGCATGTATAGGTTGATTGCTTGACTTGTCCTAAGTTGTGAAAATCTGCCAAGACTTAAAATTGGGAAAAGGCTAGATTTTTATTTGGTCAAGTAGTCTAATCACCCCCCCCCCCTCTAGACCTACTTTCGATCCTACACACCTCCGCTAACCGCCACCAAGTCGCAGACCCATCTACCCAATATTGCGCCCATCACCTCCCAAACCAATCCAGTTATCTCCACTTTCCTGCACAATTCCTCCATCATAGAACCATACTATCCACAACCACCAATTACCATCCTCCACCACCTTCCCTTCCAACCCTAACCTTGTAAGCTCTTTCTTCACAATCCCAAGTATGCTAAGCTCGAGTCCCCACAGTTTGATAATCCCTCCGTCCCATAATATAAGATGCTATTACATCCATTGTACTCATGTATTGGATGTGATAAGATCTTATATTACGGGACCGAGGGAGTAGAAAATAAAACCAATTGTCATGGCTGAAGCAATACAAGCAAATTTTTAAGGGCCGGCAGATAATGGAGGTAAACAAGCTGCGGCTCGCTTTGTTCCATATCAGCGGCAAAAAGCATGTACCCAGTACATTCTATAAATTGCAAATATGAAGTGTATTTGAAGTGCATAAATCATACATCGTAGTGACTCCCTTGCATTAATAGCTTACCTTTACCAGATAAACATACAAGTCTTCACAAAGAGCATGCAGCTCTTTGTCCACACTACCATCTGTACTTGACCCTGATTCATGTCTTAGACTTTGGGTTGCACATTGGAGCTCATTGTCTAGACGCCGAATCAAACACGGGAGCAGATCATCTACAATCAAACGCTCAAGCCGCACATCATTTGTGGAAACTGCAAGCTGAATCAGATAACAGCAAAAGTGAAGAGCCTTGATTGCTGCTTTATCATCCACAAAGTATCCAAAGAAGCTCATCCTCAACTTCTCAAAGAAATTATGATGTAGAAGAAACCTGTTAAAAACTGACTACCTTTTTACATGTTTTTCTTTCATGTTCTATTTATGACTTCTAATAAATAGACATAGAATTGTATTATTTAACAGAATTTGACTAAAACTGTACCTGCAGAAAGAAGATGGTGCCATAGAGTTCAAATCTTGAGAAGAGACAGTGTCCTTGTTGCAGATAGGTTTAACATCTTCATGTAGAGGCACAACAGTTTTTTCCATAAATGCTAAGGCCTCAAGCAAATCTGACATCTTTCGAGTAAACTCTAGCAGTAGCTTATATCCCATTTTATTTATTTGTTCATCTTCTCCAACAAGATTACCATAGTTAAAAAGGTTGTGTGCTTGTCTTTTATAAAGAAGATAAAACCAAGTACCATGAAGTCTATCCTCACACTCCAATAGTATGGGCTCTAATAAGTTGACTGTCCACTCCTCCAAGATTTCACGGGGACAATGCTTGACCAGAGGAATAACTACAAGATGGATAAGCTTCCCTAAATGTCTCAATTCCATACACCCTAAAGCTTCCGTGAACGCATTACCAACAGATAGACTTTCCAACAACTTAGGGAATGCCCCCTTAATGGTTGTACACAGACCTATAAAATTTTACCTATGGCAATGATATAAGCAGTAAACAGCATGATTATCATAATAAACATTTGATGTAGAATTTAAGTTCATGCCACTCAAGAAAACTCTCACTTCAAACATTTGACTTTGGTCATTTCTAAGTACTCCAGTATCGATAAAAAAAACAGTATATCTGAACCGCTATAGCAATGTACTTACACCCTCTGTCGAGTTCCCTCTAACAGTGCCCTTGTCTCATTCTCACGGAACCATCCCTCACTGTCAATAGTATACAGCCCATCAGAAATTTCAAGCAAATGATCAAGCTCCATACAGCTCAAGGTTTTAGCCTTTTCAACTTCTGCAGGCAACAAGTCAACACCAATTTCCGCCATCCAAAGTACATGTATACAACGGAGCAGCTGAAAAAATATGAAAGAAATAGATTGTAAACACACGGCTGTATGCAACCTAAATTTGCTGTGTATTTACGATCATTGTTCGGGCACAACTGCAAATTTAGAGGATCATTTACCCGCAAGAATAGAGGAATGATTAATTCCAAAAGAGCTATGGAGAACACACCACAAGCACCATACTCGTTTATTCCATTCATAAGCTTTTCCTCACAGAATTTCACAACGTGATAAGACATCTTCAAAAATTGACCATCAGAAAATAGATTGCTCAATCCAGACATGGTACGCACATATTTACGATTCCACTCCATCTGGATCCATATTCTGTTGAGAGAATTAAGTAGACATAGAAGCATACCCATGTATTGCTGAATCCTGTAAAATAGTTCAAAGGTAAGTAGTCGCTTTGTAACTGCTCCCTCTGCTCTTAAATAAGTGATATTTTTTACTTGCATGGTTTGCAAGGTACAGATTAATTCATAAACTGTAGTAATAACATGATCATAAATTCATAACTAAATTAATAGAAGCCTTCTGTCAATACTCCAGTTAAGTCTCAACTATGAAATTTGGTGTATTTAATGCTATGAAGAATAGCAACCTGTATTCCCATGAGACCAAGTATATATACACATGCATGCGTGGTACATATGCACAAAACGCCCAATACAGCGGTCATATGACACAGCTAATATGTGGCAAACTGGCAACTATGCACATCTTAACATTGAATATACCGCTCCTGGCCTACTGAGCAATGTCTCATGTTGACAATTGAAAAAAAATTGTTCATATTGGAAATCCATTTTGAAAATAAGGACCTCAGGCTTCTATAATGTCATTTATTTATGGAGAAGGGGGCGTTACATACAGTTGGATACCAGGCAATCCAAATTAGTGGAAGCATATCATACCCTAGACAAGACGTTGCAATAATAAATGCCTCGCATAATAAATTATGCTCTGCAAGGATAGGACAGTCCATTCCTTGGTGAGAAGAAATTGTGTCATTGATTCCCTGTACCATCAACAAAGCACATTCAAGAACAGAAAAAAAAAGTATTCCCTCTGTAACATAATGTCTTACATTAAGTTATAGAGGTTGTATATTATAGTCAGAGTGCATCTCCCTTGAAATAAAATATGTGTACCACCTGGTAAAAACAATTGTCACACATTTAAATGTCTGAACAAAGCAGGACACATCATAAAGGGACATACAAAAAACTAATCATAATGGTATACCGTGGGTGCCGCACTCCAATCACTGTTCTGGGATCTTTTATCTGACATGCTGCTTCTACTGTCAGTACTCTCTAAAACTAAATCATGATCGGATTTAACCAGCTGTAACATCAACTTTAGAAGATCAGTGCTGCTAAGTTTTTCACTCCTGTATTTCAGGAGATGCTGCAGAAAAAAAAGACCAATGAAAAGGAAATAAAAGAATTAAGGACCCAGTCATCTGAGAGTATGTACATGAAGCACTATGATGAAGTAAAGTGTCAGGAAGGACCTGAAGCATCTTATAGCCATGAAGTTGAACCTTGATCAACTCCTGGTTGGCCAGCAAAAGTGAAACCTTTAGAAAGGATTCCACGTATAGTTCCTCTTCTGTTCTTACCTGGAGTATTTCACATTGATCAGACATCACCAATGCATTGTTTGATAAAAGAAAAAGGTGACAGAATTTGAAGAAAGCACGCCGGTAATTGCATTGTGCACATTTCTGAAGGTGTGCCGTCAAATTGGCGAGTCCTCGGTACAGAATTTACTAGGTCCCATGTCAGATCACAAAGGCCAAAGCTAGCGAATTAAAGTCTACGGAATATAAATTCAACTAAATCCGCTTAATAACTAGTAGTACAAAGCGTGCTAGAGTAGAGACCTCTTCGTTCCATCATATAATGTTGCTGAAACTAGCATTGTCTAAAATTCCAATTGCAGTGTCGTGAACGGATTAAAGTTGCTCTGTTTGTTCCATCCTGTAATGCCGCCAAAATTAGCATGTTCAGAACTCCAATTGTGACGTCTTGGACGTATTTGCTATATTAGTGACACGTGTGGCCACACCATCGGTTCACAACCTAAAAACTGCTGCGGACACCTGAGATTCAATTCATGCTGCATTGGACGAAAAACTGGGCACGAGTTTGGAACCCTAGGCGTAGACAAAGCACGTGATAAGCTGCGGCCTGGATACTCGTTTAGGCTTAGAGTTCTGTATCTTTAGCTGTCACCGAAACAGAAGCAAGGCCAGTACAAGTAGTACCTGTCCCAGGTTTGGAGGGTCCGAATCGCGGTCGGCGCCCGTCGCCGCCTCCGTTGGGAGGCAGGACGCGTCCATGGAGATTGAGGGGAAGCCTCGAGGTGGCTGGCGCCGGCCGTGCGCGGGCTCAGGAGAGGAGGGAGTGGAGGAGGGGCGGATCCTATTCCCCGCGTACCGCCGGGGATAGAGATCTTTTTTTTTTCTTTTGAGAGTTCCGGCCTTCCGGGAAGAGAGATGAAACGCGTGAGCGCCCTTGCGCTATATAGGCCGGCCATTCAGGGTTTACCAGCACCGGTTTTGGTTTTTCCCTTTCTTTTTACCGTTTTTTTATTTTACTTTTTTACTTCTCTTATTTTCTGTTTCCATTATTTTTTTTACTTTTCATATTTTAAACTTATGACTCTTTTTAAGAAATCGGTAATAAAAGAAACGCAAGAACAATTTTTAAATTCATGAACAATTCCTGAATTTTGGGAACATTTTTAAAATTCGTGAATATTTTTTGGAATTCAAGAACATTACTTTTGGACTTGTGAATTATTTTTTAATTTATGACCATTTTCTAAATTTTATATCTATACTTTAAATTTTAGAAAAAAAATCAAACAGCGGATTTTTGTTTTGAAATTCATGAACAGCTTTTTGTTAATTTGGAAACAAATTTTGAAATTCCTGAACATTTTTCGAATTTTCAACATTTTCGAAAATTCGTGAACATTTTTTGGATTCATGAACATTTTCCTGAATTCATTAATAATTTTGAAATTCGAGAACATTTTTCAAAATCATGAATATCTTTTGAAAATCAGAGCATTTTTCAAATTCAGGAACATTTTTTGAAATTGGACACTTTTTTTCAAATTCATGAATATTTTTTATAATTCAGTAACATATTTCAAATACATTGATATCTTTTGAAAATCAGAGCATTTTTCAAATTCACGAAAAAAATTTGAAATTGGAAACACTTTCCAATTCATGAATATTTTTTATAATTCAGGAACATTTTTCAAATTCATGAACATTTTTTAAATTTGGGAACATTTTTTAATTCAAAACTGTATTTAAAATCCCTAACAGTTTTTAGAGAAGCAAAAAAACAGAAAATCTCTACTACTTAAAAAGAACGTAAGGTTTCCATTTCACCTCTCTTTCGTCCAACCTTCCTTATATATGTCCCACTCTTCCCTTCTCCCTTTTGACTTTTTCTCTCATCTATGATTTTTCTCCCATCCATTCTCCCTAAAATAGAATCAATTGTCTCATGTTTTGTTAACTTACCAAAACATATTTTGTTTGGTAAGTAATTGAATTCTGACCAAATAAGTGCTTAAGGATAAAATGGCAGGTAAATCATGACGATTGCATACAAAATCTTGCTAAGATTTTAGCGCATCAATATAATAATAGATGCGCAGTCAGGAGCTAATGTACTAAAATATTTATATTCCCGTTGCAACGCACGGGCAATTGTCTAGTAAAACAAAAAACTATGGAGCGCCGTAGAGCATATGGGTCGGCCCAAAGCTAGTGCGGGGGAAGGAGGGGCATGCATTTCCTCTCTATTCCCCGCGTAGGTCGGGGAAGGTCATGTGGAGGCAGCCGAGCAATCGGTGACGAAGGGAGACCACAACCCACAGGGGTCGGTGGCCACGAGGGTGTCTGACCCGCGTATTTGGGCTTTTTAAGGCCTTCTACAATGTAAGATGCTTAGGAGAGATGCTTAGAGAAATAAATCGGTTTTTTTCTAAAGCATTGGTGCTTATTTTTAGATTGCGGATGCTTAATTAGGCATGCTTTCTGTAGAAATAAACACTGGGCTTAAGAAAAACGTAATTTATTTTATCAAGCACCTCACTAAGCAGTAAACACCTTACATTGCATAAGGCCTAAGGGCATCTCCAACAGCTGCCTTATTTTAGTGCACCATGCAACTAAATAGTGCAGCCGTTGAAGATGCTCTAACCTCCTCAAAACGCCTCTCCTTTAGTCATAACTAGATAATACCCCGAGCGTTGCAGCAGGATGTTATTGTGTGACAAAGAGCTCAAAAGAGAGGAAGGCACAATAAGAAGAAAAGGGTTAGAAAATCCAATTTTGTACAAGATCTTAGTATTTTATTGGATGATCAAAAGTAGTGTGTTCATCTCAGTGGAAAGGAGACCATGCAACTAAAAAGAATATTAGCACATAATTTATTTTAATGAGAACACCAATATAGAGAAGATAAAAAAAAACATCATGACCAGCAGGGCTTCAAACAAAGTATATGCTGAGATACTACCGCAATATGAATTGCTTGTTTGCACCTTGACTGAACACATAGCTTCGATCTTACTCGTGTCGTGTATGTGGTTCCACTCAACTTATATAGCACTACATTTATATACACCCAGATTGTAAAAATTGTGCTGAAACCAGTACACATGAAGCACAACTTTTTAAGAATAGTAGATAACTGTGCAGAAAAGCCAGCGTGTGGTCACGGACAAAACAGAAGGACTGTTCCAGTGATCCTAGAAGAAAACTATTGCAGAATTTTCCACCGGGGATGCATCGCGATGTTCGACCCAGCGGCTATGATCACCCACCCTGTTTACAGAGCACCACAGATTCACTAAGGCCCTGTTCGGAACTTCCCCACTCCGCGGAGTTGGGGGGGCTGGGTTTTGGCAGCTCCGTCAAATTTAGCTAAAGTCTGGTCCGCTCCCGGAGCGGAGTTAAAGGAGACGAGAGAAACCGAACGCAGCCTAAACAAAGCAAGTCATTTAGAGGAGATGACTGTACCACGGGCCATGAACCTGCTCTGATATTGTTGCTACTTTGATCAGCACCTCAGCTGCCTTCACTACGCGGTCGGTGAGCTTTGTCGCCCCGATGCGCCCCAGGGCCGCCTCGGCGAGTTTCCTGCCCTTCGTCCCGTTGCCACCTAGGGTGACTGCACGGAACGCGCAGTGAACAGATCGAGACACCTTCCTGAAGACAGTGTCATCAGTCTGGAGGCTTTTGAGGAAGACCCTGCTCAATATCTGCTTCCTGTTCTCAACCATTTCATCCGAACAAGGGCCGGCCGAGGTCGACGAACGGACCATCACCTCGATGATCTGATCCATGCCAACATCAGAAAAACTGTCTAGTAGCTCTGCAAGCGTGTTGAACAGTTCCAAGGTAGAATTTTCCAGTTCTGAGGGAGTGGCCTTTGAGTCCTCACTCATCAATACTTGACGCTGGACAAGCATGCTGTAAGAAGAACATAACTAGGTTCAGTCGTTAATGCGTTCTAGTGCTCTGATATTATTATGTAGTAATGAACACAGCATAAAATTTCACCTTGTTGCGATAACAATCACTTGTTGGAACTGACTCTGGACACCACGCAACCTCAACCAGTTGAGCTTAAATGTTTCGGGTACTGATTTTCTTTCCATGCCCTCCATCCTGCTGATAAGCTGTAACAGCCCAATCCTTACTAGCCTGTCGATCGTTTCTCCCGAGCACTCTGGTAGGATCTCTGTACTTCCTGTTTCATGTTATGTAACATGATTAACAAACTCAGGTAAATGGCCAGCATAAAATTAATGAGCAAATACCTGCTACAGGCACTGTAGATTGTTGCTGATCTGGAGTTCCACGACCAGCTCGGAGGGTCGTAACCAATGGCTGAACCTGTTATGACAGACAGGCGTAGATTCAATCAACAGCAGCAGATGAGAACCATAAATACTTAGGCTAGTGTTGCTTAAAACAGCCCATAGGGGGTCTGTAGCTTAATCAATAACAGCGGGTAAAAACCACAACTACTTGTCTATTATTACTGCTTAATACAGTAGCTGTGCATAGTGTTTACTAGGAGTAAAATTTAAGAACATGAAACTAACATTGTCTGATGCAGGCAGGATCTGTAAGGAGCTGACATATTCATTCCATTCTTCTTCTACCATATCCTTTGAGGTAGAAATCCACTGAATAGTTGAAGTGAGAGACACTAATGCATTGGAACGGGATCCATAGCGATCGGCAAAAGCTTTCTGCAGGTACTCGACCCCACCTGAGCCCTTTATAATTGGTTTCAATAGTTGGATTCGTGCTCTACTGACTTCAGACTGAAGAGCCTGTTTAATAAAAAATATTTAGTTTCTGAATGATGCTATAGATTCACTGTGTAGCTAGTGTAAATTACTCAAAACCTCGAGGTAGTATTAAGGATTATACAAACCTTTAACTCTTCCATAGTGAACCGCAAGCCCTTGATGACAGCTATTACAAATGCATTTGGATCTCTATCATGAGAATCAGAGTGTCCGATCAATTCGTTCAATAATTTGTCATGACTGATCTTCATTTCTTCTTCCTTTGCGGGAGAAGATAATTTACGCAGCATGCCCAGAGAGTACTGCAGAATCTGCCCCAAATATTGTGTGCCCTGGGTGCTCGACTCAAGTACCTTTCCACAAGAAATGATTCGTTGGTATCAGATGTATTTAATAGATTCATGATAACACTCATTCAGACTCTTCTTACCTGGGACAATATTTCAAGGTTAATATTGTTTGTTATTTCTTCTTTCCACCCTTTACTGGCCATCTGGTGCAATGCATCCCTGACTTCGTTTACTAGGTTGACCAGATAACTGTAATCTGGTGTGTCTCCTTTCATTGAATCCACAACCACATCCCAGAAAGCTTTCTCCATTGTTTCCCTAACTTGTGCCTGAGAATAAAAAAGTGGGCAACTAAGAAAATAACATACTACTTAACCGGAGGTGCATCTTACACTGGAAAAAACTACACCCTAGATCATGGCATTTGAGTTCCCCTAGACACTCAAAGCTCACACAGATTCTCTACCATGATACACATTTTTGGTTCTTAGATTACCCCAGGTGTGAAGCTCAACAGTAATATTCTAATATACGAGAGGACCTAACCTTGAAATCCCCCTCAACTTTACCAACGTCATCAGAGCTATCAGAAAAAGAACCATGCAAAATCTCATTGACCATTTGTTCATTATCTGTTGGCAGCTTTTCTGGCACCGTTCTGCTCATTTGGCTGCTGATGACCTTGTCTCCTGAGTTA